CCTCGCTGTTACCAGGATTTAACCTGTTCCATTTCATGTTTGCATTTGCATGCTGAAGGAACATCGCAGAAAGAAATCAACCAATCATGGTGCTACAGCTCCACCATTCTAGCTCTACCTTCCATGTCCATTCTCTTCAGGGGTCATTCTCTTCAACAAAAATTGCCAAAGTCTCGGGAACATGGGTGGTTTCCAAAAAGAACGATGGGTGAAGAGAAGGGTTGGAATCAACCCTTAGAGCCATGCGCCCGGGAAGTTTCCTGTGCCGGACGGAAGTGTTGTAGCTCTGACGGTATTTGACGCGCGAATTCCCTTTGGAGTGTGGTGGTGAGGTTTGGGGTTCCTAGATTTCTTACACTACCACCAAAGAGAAACCATCCGTGCGGGGGAGGTTCCCCTTGGAGACCAGCCCATATGAGCCACAATCAAAGCCCGGGTAGATGAAGGTTAGTAAGGGGCAGTCCCAGCCGGAAATAGTTGCGGCCGCCTTTCTAATTCTTTACATGGTTCTGGGTTCACCATTTTTGTACCAGGGTTTGATTGTGACTCATATGCCATGTCCTCTTGTTGTCGTGTCACCTGGCTGTCGTGTCACCTTTAGGGTAGACTGAATACAACACAATAACACATAAGAATTGGAACATACTTGTTTGGTTGTCTTTCGGAAGACAACTCACTTGCCCAAAGCGAATCGACCTCTTGACCTGGCTTTCCGAATTTCACATTTTGGCCAGGCCATTTGTAGCCAAGGTCAAAACTGATCACCGTTTAGTTTCTCCAAATCCTTTTGGCCAGCGAAAGAAAGGGGTGGCCTCCAAAAACACCTGGCCTCCTCCCTCCAAAAACCGCCAGGTGGAGCTGAAGAAGCTCGAAGCAGAGAACTCCTCGAGGCGAAAAGTTCCTCGTAGCTGAGGGGTCAAATCCCCGACCCAGTTGCCCAGTGGTGCCCTGTTTTCCCGTGTTTTCTCCATTTTTTTGTTTTTTCCTTCTTGTTTGTTTTTTTGGGGGGGGTTCCCCTTTGAAGTCAAGCAACCAAAAAAGGATGCCATTTTTTTTCTTAGATGCCACTGGGCAGCTGAGCCAAACAACACCAACATAAAATAAATCACGGTCATTGACTTGGATGTTGGCTGCCAGGGAGTGGTTGGCCGACCCAATTTCAGGCTGAGTGCGACTTATGAGGGGGGGACTTTTGAGTGGGTTATAACCTAAGTCCCCCAGTAGTGCCCTTTCTCGCCCTTTTACCGCTTCTTTTTTGGGGAGGGTTTCCCTACTAAAATAGGCTACAGAAGAAACAAAAGGTACCCTTATTCTAACCTCTCTACTGAAGGACCTAGTAGCCGAACGTTTACCGTTACAACTTACGTTTTGGCAAATCGAACACCCAAGTGGCTGCTTGAGGCTCACTTTTGGGTAGTCAAAAAACGGAATCGGGTTTCCCCCAAATTGACGCAGTGGTTCCTTTTGGTTTCGCTGCAAAGCACCCCCAAGGAGTACCGTCCACAAAGACGCATTTTTTGGGGTTTGGATCATAGTGGGCACAAAGCTTGGTTGCTTTTTTGAGGCCCAATCCGCAAACCAGGGTTTTGAACAGTCGAGAGGTTGGGCCTTAACCCAAAAGCGGTTGGAAGCCAGTCGCGCAAGTCGCGCCATTTGGCGCCCTGCTTGGATGCTTTACGGGGGATGAGCGAGAGTTCCTGAGTTCCTAGTTTCTTCTTCAAGCGGCTTTAGTGGTAAAATGTGGCTGACTCCGGTTCAGCTGGACTTTTGTCACGTTTGGTTGCCATTTCAGTGGCAAACCAAAGGTTCCGTGACGTTTTTGGCCCATCCACTCGATCAGTGAGGTTGAGACCGTTTCAAGCTGCGCAAAAAACCGGAAGCCACTTCTCAGGTGAGCCGTCAAAACGGATTCGGGTAGATGTAGGTAAGGGAGAATTTCCCAGCCAGAAATGGGTGCAGTCGCCTTCTTGAGTGTTTCTAGGTCCCCCAGCTAGGTGCCCTTCTGTCCCTCTTTTTTTTGGTTGGGAGGGTTCCCCTAAAATAGACTAGAGAAAAGAAACATCGGGTACCAACTTATTCTAACCTCTCTGGAGGACCTAGTATTTTGCATGGCTCTGGGTCCCGACCATGTCTCAGGTGGCCTCGGGTTGAAAGTTTGGTGAAAAAATTGGTGGCTGGGCTGGTGGTTTCGGGGTTTTGAGTCCCTGGTTGCGGGCAAAACTGGGGGGGGACCCGCTCCGGAACACCTCCAAACTGTGCTCCAAACTGCCGGCTAGAGGGAAACGGATAAATTTTGGAATGCAACTAACAAGGATAAGTGTTGGGGTTAGCCTGGGGTTCAAGCCTCATGAAAAGAATGGCAAGGACCCAATTTTAGGTAATGATTATTCTGACCCAGCATTGTTTCGATGGTGGAAACTGAATCCCAAGGGTTCCCTATGGTAAACGCGAGCCACTGGGTGTCCATTCTCAATACTTGCGCTACGCCGCACGGATGAGGAGACCCATTCTGAGACTGGAGACGTGGGGAAACTTTTGGAGCGTAAAAGTTAATCCTGGAGTCTTGAACAGGCACAGAGGGTTGCAAGTTCACCTATACATGATTGTTGTTTGGAAACATGTTTCCCATTTTTGCTTATTGTGGTTTAGTGGTTGAAATCCAACCACTTAACTGCTAAAATTTATTTGTTTTGCTCCCCTTCCAACGTCAACCAAGTATATGTGCCACGGTCAAAAGACCGGTTCCTTTGCCTGGGGCGACTTGGGGCGAAAAGGGATGGTCATACTGGTAAGGATCCTTAACTAGGTCCCCCAGTATTCTTTCAACCTTCTTGGGGGGAGGGTTGCCCTACTAAAATAGACTACACAAAAAAGGGTACCCTTGTTCTATCCTCTCTACTGGAGGACCTAGTTAATAACCAGTGTAGTGTTTCCCATTAAAGGGAACCATGACCATAGGCCATATAAGGCGTTTTGAAGCAGGTACATATAAATATGTTTCTGGGGGCCCTTGTTCCAGGAATGGTGATTTTGTATGATTCCACCAGATTCGGAAGCGCCGCGACAAGGTAGAGGGTAGCTCTGACTGGAGAAGATGCCTTTTTTGTGGGTCGTAGCTTGATGCACTTAAAAACAAAGGGCCCGTCCCAGATTGGAACCGTTTCGTTTTAAGTGACCCAGTGGGATCATGTGAGACAATCAATACCCGGGTAGATGAAGGGTGGTAAGGGGTAATCCCAGCCATACTTGGGTGCAGCCGCCTTTTGTTGTTCCTTACATGGTTTTGGGTCCCGACCATTTTAATACCAGGTTCTGAGTATGACTCATGTGGGAGTATCCTGAATTGGGGGCCGAATACGGAGAAACCGACACTCCAGCTGAGCCTGTCAGGGACAAGAAGCTATTGGCCCTCGAGCGGCAGACGCAGAACCTGCAGGCAGTGGATGTGCAGAAGCAAGTTGTGTTGCTCCTGCGATAAGTAGGGAAGGTGAAATGGAATGAACCCAGGAAGCTGAAAGGACACCACCAGTTGAATAGATTTTTTGGAGTCTGGAAATGAGGCTCCCCTTAAAGAAAAACCACCACTTGGGATGGGTTTAGAAGGCCCATTCCATTCCCTCAACCATGCATGAAGGTCTCTTACTTGGCTAGGTCCCCCAGTAGGGCCCTTTTGCCCCTTTTTTGGGGGAGGGTTCCCCTACTAAAATGGACTACAGAAGAAAGTTGGTACGGTACCCTTATTCTAACCTCTCTACTGAAGGACCTAGTTGTTGTTTAGTACTCCTTTGCTCTGTTTTACCAAGCTTATTTATCTAACTTTCAGATCTCTGACGGTTGCCCCACTAAGAAGTTCAACCACTCGAGCCGGCTGAAACACGTGCTGATGTTACTACACCTTTTCAAAACATAATATGCTGATCATGATCATCATGATGATGATGAGGATGATGATCTTGCTCGATCATACTCACACCTTTTTTTGTTCAGGAACCCAGGGAAGAAAACTGCAAAGGGCCCCAATATGAGAGTATGTCCTTTGATGGCCCCGGAGATAGGTGAATTCGCAAAGGTTCGCTCTGAAAATGCTGGTTGGATTGTCAAACTTTGGCTGGCCCTTGATTGCTAGTTGTGCATTAGCCATGCGGCCCACATTGCACACGTATGCAGACTTGAGTTGGAAGACAGTATGGTGACGGTATGATACCGCTGCATATTGACGCGTGCGCATGTTGCCCATGGCATGTGCACCCCTAAGCGACGTGTCTGGGGTCTCCTCCAATCACAGCATATTTATATGGGTATGGCGCAAAATTAAAGAGCTACAGTCACGCAGGTTTTAGTTTTGGTTCCATTTACCAAGGTGCCATTTTGGTACCACTTTTTTGAGCCACAGCCATATGTTTTACATTTTAGGCTAGAATATGGAACCGGGGGCAGAAAAGAACATGTAGGTCTGTCTTTGGAGGGTACCCTGTTTGGTCACTTTGAAGAACACTTCAGCGGCACCAGAACCATTTTTCTATACCTTCCATTTCCATTCTTTCCAGGCATCCGAATCTTACTAAAAAGCCACCCACCACCCTAGGGAAGCAGCGATCGGTTTTTGAACAGAAGGATGGTTGAAACGAATGGGGAATCAACCCCGATACATAATTTGTCTGCGCATCTTTGTGTCAGGCGAAGATCTCGATGGAGATCGACGCCAAGGTGCCGCTGAACTCGGGTGGCTTGGGTGTTTGTGTGTGTGTGTGTGTGTTTTTTTTCATTGCGAGGCGAAATGAGATGAGGACTCACTCCTCGTGCCGTTTCGGACTTTGGTTCCTGTCTGACTTGTTTGAGCTTGGACAAGTTGAGAGCAAACAGCTTGGATTTCTTTTGTGTTATTTTAATTGCTGAGGCAGGGGAGGCAACGGACAATATCAACTGTTTGTTTGGGAGGACGTGGTGGCAACACGGATTTTTCACAACCGGACCTGCCCTGGAATCGTCCAATACACTTTAGTGGAAACAAACATGTTCATGGATCAATCAATACCAGAGCCCAAGCGCTTGACTTACTTTTGTGATACCGCAAGCATTCCATTGAACATGATAGGGATCTCCTTGTTACCTAATGGCTGTTTGCCAGATTGAATTCCACGCAGCGCTCAGTAGGGCACGGGGGATTCAGTCTGATGCATTTGAATTTGCGTGTTTATGACATGTTTGAGATTGACTCGACGGCCCCTATTTTGAATGGGGTCCCGGGGCTGCTGTTCTGTGGATGGCAAATCTCCGGTGGGTTGGCAGCTTCTCACTTCTTCAGTTCATGAAGTTTACACTTTTTAGGAAGACTATTTTAGTGGTAAATATAAAGTTTGGAGTTTTTCTGGGCCATCCACCCAGCAGGTGAGGCTTATACAATTTGCCAAAGCTCAGGACACAAGGCTTCTTCTGGAAGGGCTTCTCAAGCTGATGGATCAATCTTAGGTTCCTTCAAATTTCAACCCATGCTGCATGCCAACCTACGGGAGAAGCCCTGACAAGAGTTAAGGACGAGCATCCACTGGTGGCACAACCCCAAGCCAATTGCAGCGATTTGCAGCTCCAGATGTATGGTACTGGTTTGTTACAGACGCCACAATGCGCGCCTGCATTTGTTGTTGGACCATTTGTCAAGAAAGCAAGCAGTGACATCGCGTGACCGCACACGAGCACGGCCCCAACAAGTCTGGATTCAGGCTTATGACTCTTTTGACTGATTTGAAGGCCGAGCCGTGCTGAACAACAGCTTTGAAACGCAGGCGACATTGTTTTTTCCCCCCCCCCCCGACGGTTCCTCCAAGATTATGTTATATTTTTGTGCAATTGGACGAAAAATACACAGAATCTGAACATATTCTCACTTGCCCAAAGCGAATTGACCTTTTGACCCTTTGCTTTCCCCATTTTGGTAGATTTTGCATGGGCACATCTGGGATAGTTTGTTGAGCTTATTTTACATGTCAAGTTAACTAAACTTAAAGCATAGTCGGACATGCGATTTTGGCCGGGGGCAAAAGCTCAGATTACCCTCAACTATTGGTGGTGTGCGTTTTGAAGCCCTGCTTCTTGCCAAGGGTACATGAGAAGCCACCACCTAGCACCAGCCAGTTCAACATGTGGGCACATCTGGTTTTAGGGGAGCGTGGTTTTCCTTTTTGGCCTCCCTGTAAAACCAACCAAGGGATACCTGACAAAGTTTCTCTCGAGCTCGCACCATGGCAAAGTTACGTGCGGCCGCATCGCCCTAAAGCCTCGCGGCTCAAGGCGACGCGCAAAGACGAACCGATTGGCACATGTCAAGATGCGCGCCGTTGTGGCCCTTCTTTGTCCAGCCAATATGAAGCCATTTTGGGGGAGGCGTTAGCGTCAAGAGTCCCAGATTGGGTATGCCTTCTCAACCATAGGTGTCCTTTTTGGTTGTTTCCTGGTTGACCTTGTTGCACAATCTACTCGTACCAGGGCAATCGATTCACTCGTTTGGCTCTTGGCAACTTTGTAGGCCACAGGCTGCTTGGCAGTTGCGAATGACACCAACACCAAGTCCACTTTCAGGAATGTATGCAGCAACGCATGCGATACTGATTCTCTAGACTTTGCATGAGCGGCAACGAAAACCCACTGAATTTACAGGCTTCGCTTCACATCGGGCTATGAACGTACGGTATATGGTTGGATCACCCTCCAGATGGTGATACACAAATTCCCATGTTTATCATTCGGCCAAGTAACAAACTACACCCATCCTCCCACTAACATAGCATTTGTGGGAGGGTACCATGAAGATCAAGTTCCTCTTCAATGGACCCCCTGTCCGGTGCCCGGTTAGAACGAGAAGGGTATCCAAGCGAGTCAAACCGTATCAAGCCCGATTGACATCTGATCGAATCGCTTTGCCATGTTCGACTGGGAGGAGCTTGAGGCTGCAGGCTGATAAGTCCTCCCAGGGGGGGAGGGATCATCCAACAAAAGAGTGCCCGGTTGATTCTTTTGAATGTATATATGTATGTATATAGAGTTTCCATATATATATATATATGGTAACCCCCCCCCCAGGGCCTACCTTTCCTCTCTTCTAGTTGAAGGTGTCAAGTCTACTCCGTGTGCCTCGTTCTTGCAGATCCACCAAGGGCCTGGTGTTCATTGCAATTGTAAAACAACATCTGCCCGGCAAGCCCAGGCATCGACCGGCTAAGTTCAAAGACGCAAAGCAGAATCCATTTTTTCCCCAAGAGTTTGACCAGTGGAGCCAAGAAGTTTGGCAGAAATAGCATAGCAGGCAAGAAAAATGAGCTGGGCAGTTGTCTCAGTTGTTCAGTGGCACCCTTTTCCCTTTTTTTTGGGTGGCTGCCCCACTAAAAGTCTTCCCCAAAAAGGGTTCCCTTTTTTTCCCAGGGTCACTGAACAACTGAGTCGTAGAGGGAAGGACTTTCTTGGCGTTCTTCCCTTGCAACGAGCCAAAGAATTTTAGCCCCTCTGGACATCCCCCAAACCAAAGGTCAGTCTGTGATTTCCACTTCCCGCGAAGCCTGTAATGGGAGGTACCGTGGCCCGGTAGGGTTTGATAGGGTTCGATAGGGTTTGATAGGGTTTGATAGGGTTTGATGGTTTGATGTGGTTGGAGGTGCACTGTTTGGATCAGTGTTTTTTGAGGGTTCCTGCTAGTTTTGAGTTTTAAAGGGAAACCAAAAGGAAAAGGAAGCCATTTTGGAGGAGTCCGATTACTCAAACAGACGAGCCACCCATTTACCGTTGGAACTAGCCCATGCCCCGGTTGCCAGTGGGTTCCACCTTTGAATTCCTTCTTCTGGGGACGGGTTGTGCTGTAAATCTGACAACCCCAGGGTCTTAGATTGTTCCCCTTTGGCCATGGGGAAGGCACGAAAGTTTACCATAGGTGGGTTGGCATGATTCATTGTTTACAGTTGTAGCACTAATCTGATCCACTATTTTTGTTTAGAATGATTGGCGTGAATCACTATAATACTATAAAGCCCTTGACACGGGCCGAGGCAGCAGTGAACAGTCCCATTTGGAGTGGCTAAGGGGAAAATATCCTATAAAGTATGCGCTGGATAGCCAATCAATTGATCATCCCTAATTTCCCTAAAGAGGTCACAACAGCCACTTCCTGTTGACTACCAATAGGTGAAGACAAAGAGCCGTACAAATCTCTGAGTCATTTCCGTTGAGCGTACCCTGTCTTTGTTCGCCATACGTGTCGGCAGTTTTGCCATGTAGTTAACAGCATGATCTTGCTTGTTCTCGTGTCAATAGGGATGGTCATTCACCGTTCAACCAGAAATATGGACCGTCATCATGAGGATTCCTTTTCGAGCTGGGCTGTTCAGAGACAAGCCGCAATTTGTGCCAAAGGTTGCGAAAAGTGTACCCTTCGCATGCATTTTCTTGGGATCTTTCCGGAGACCCTCCACTTCATTCACTCCAGCAGATGTCGGTTTCATGGTTTTTCTCCTTGGAAAGAGGGGTGACTTCGAGAGTGACAAAGTTTCAACCCCTCCCCTTGGGCAATCAGCACACCACCCCTGCAAACGCTCTTAAAGACCAAAACAGACAAACCACGGGTTCCTTCCCTCTTGCGCATAGGCAAGGCGCGAGCCGCTGCGAAAGCAGCGCCGCCGCGCGAGCCGCAGCAAAAACCGCCAGGCGTGGGAGGCTCTGTTTTCACCGCGCCGACTTTTCAAATCGGGGGTTGCCATTTGGCCTTTTGATGGAAAATATACTGGAAAAGAGGAGGGGGGGCAGAAGGCAAACCCTGTATAAGTTTGTTGGTTTTGGGCCCTCTCCCACACCAAATGCAAGAGACTGACTTTGATGGTCAAATCATGATCCCTGCTTCCTTGAATCGTTGGAGAAAAGCTTAGTTGGATAAGGATGTGGCATGCAAAACGAGCCCATGCAATGCTTCACAAGCGTCTCGGCATGACCATCTTGGCAAAGATGCCAAGAGTTTAAATTCTAATCTTGGCGCTGATGTGCCAAAATGGCAAGAAACAATGCGCAAGTGCCAAGAATTGAGGCAGAGGAATGCCCCTGCACCTGAAAGTAAGCCCTTACCCCGCTTCTGCTGACACAGTTGGAAGTCTAGGAGGCGCTTCTGAAAGCGAGTGGCAAGGTTTGGCCCTTGGCTGAGACAGTCCCTCCCAAGATTCAGGAGGCATCGTTTCTGTAAGTTTGCCAAGCTCCATTTCCGGACTGCCAGGATCACAGGTCCTCGGTTTCTTTGTGGGGAGCCTTGGTCCACCCAAATGTCTCTTACAAAAGCACATAGCTTAAACCACCCAGATTTCTCATGTCATTTTGTCAATCCTTTGTAATTGGGACTCAAATGGGTTATAGTATGTGCGCAGCCAGGTTTTCGCAAGGTGTTTGTTAGCTCATCCAGTCATCGAACTGAGTCAATTTTGATCCAGGACTAGCAAAACCCTGGTTGATTGACAAGTGAGTGCGTCCGTGCGTCCGTGCGTGCGTGTGTGCGTGTGTGCGTGTGTGCCAGCAAAGGGTTCCAGGGTTGAAGCCGCCTTCGGGGAACCGAAGCTGGTGAAGTTGAGAACCCACCGGCGTTGTGCCTTTGGGTTTTGCAGCCAACCCAAAGCAAGCAAAAAGGCTTCGTGTTTTGGCAAATACACGGCAAGATGCGCCGCTTGTGACTCACTGTTTGCAGA